AGTAAACCGTACTTGCCACCTTTGGGCCAGAAGATCTTTAAAGGTTCTTTTAATTCTAATATTACTCAGAGGCCAAAATGAGAATCTATGAAATAGCAAATGCCAAAAGACAAATACCTAGGAAAATCTTACTTCTCTTTTTCACATTCCAATCTCTGAGAGTGTTAAAGACTTTGTCTGAAAGGCCTGTCCATGAGGATACTTTGCTCTTCCATGATTGCGTTCAGCTTTTTGTTTGTCCAAAATGAACACAGTTTCATTTTTTCCCCTAATTCTTAAAAATGCTTACTGTAAAAATTTGAACAGTGTAGAAAAGTACAAAATAAAAGTGAAAATTATCTGATACCCAACACGCCTTATTACTATTTGGTAACTGGTCTTGCAAACATAGTTCTAGGTATAAGTGTTTTCCTGTACTCTGTTTATTTTTTTAATATGGCAATGTTATGTGTGAGCAACTTTGAGGATCAATCCGAAGCTGTGGTTCTTAGTCTCTACTCAATGTACTCACAAAATTCCATCTTTGTCTGGGGGCTCCGATTCTAAGTGAAACTTTGCAAATACGGCAGTAGACTGAAAGAGCAAGGGATCTTTAGACCCTTACCACAACCGCACTTAAAGATGTGGTCAAATTCTCCAGGCTCCACTCTAGTAGATACAGAAAGGAAAGATTTGCAAAGTTTGTGGTTAAAATTCAATTTGGAAATGAAATGGACCCAGTGGCTTGGGAGAAAAGCAAGTGTTCCTCCTTTACCCCATAACCCACCCCCACCTTCCTTGCTTATTATTATAAAAGTAATATGCGTTTATTTAGGAAAATGCAGACAGGCAAAAATGAGAGAAATAAAATCATAAGTAATCTAATCAGAATATTTATGATTGGGGCACCTGGGTGGCTCAGTTGGGTAAGCATCTGCCTCTGGCTCAGGTCATGATCCCAGGGGCTCGATCTGATCCCAGGGTGCTGGGATAGAGCCCAGGTCAAGCTCCCTGCTAAGCGGCGAGCCTGCTTCTCCCTCCCTGTTCGCCCTCCCCCATGCTCTCTCTCTCAAATAAATAAAATCTTTTTTTAAAAAAAGAATATTATGACTAACATTTTGGAGCATGTATGTTCAGTCTTTTTTCTATGCATATATATTTATATAAGTATCAATACATAATTCAAAAGCAGTCTTTAAACTTCTGGGTTTTTCTCTTCACTCACTGCACTGCCGTTTCTGCACAGCACTGTTTCTATTATCAGCAGGAAACTATACAAGTTAAAACTGGCTTTGGAGATACAGAGTTCTTTGTATCAGTAGTTTGCATAGCGAGGTATGCACACCAAGGAACCAAGGTTATGGGTATGTTTTGAAATTAATACACCAATTACTCTGAATACTGCTGTACGGGAATTCAGTTTATCCACTGGGCATGCTGCTCCTGAAGTTCAAATTCCCTCAGCCGATATTCAGCAAGTATCTTACATAACTGGTATAAATGAGGTCATGTCAGGGCCAGAATTTCTATACGCATTTATTTATATCTCCATCTATTTAATTGATGAAATGTCTGTGTTCCTTAAGTGTTCTGAGAAGAATATCTCATCATCCACCATCATCTATCAGTATGATACTGACTTATGCTGTGAGAAGGTGACTTACTTTGTATGTAGCAACAAGTATACATTATAGGAAAGATATCTTTCTCATTCACAGGGAAGTCAATTTGCTTCTAAGGGTTTGAGACTCTATTAAATTGCAACATACCATCCCTATATGTGTTCCCAATGATGGTTAACAAAGAAAAAGCAGCCAGGAGAAACCTTGCCTTTGATATTTAATATATGCTGTTCTGTTATCTATTGCTGAGAAACAAGCCACCCCCAAAATTTAGTGGCTGCAAACAATTGATTATAATCTCTTGCAATTCTCTGGGCTGATTAGGCACAGCCGCGCAGTCTTCTACAGGGCTTGCTTGGAGTCTCTCATTGACGATGTCAGATAGCAGCTGGGGCTGGAGTTCACTGGGGGCTTGACTAAGTGGGCCGGAAGGTTCCAAGACTGTTTCTTCACTCACAGGTCTGGTGCTTTGGTTCACATAGCCTCCCTCTCCACCTGGGGTCTCATCCCCCAGGGTTTTCTCCGTGGCCTCTCTTCCCACGAAGATAGACTTCTTCCATGACGGCTGACTTCTAAGTATAAAACTAAAAGCTTTCAGGACTTTTTAAGGCTTGGGCAGAGACCTGGCGTAGTATCAGTTTCAGCCTCTTTCCATAAGTTAAAGCAACTTAGGGCCAGCCTTGATTCAATGTTGGGGGGGGTTGCTATACAAGCACATCAGTATGAGGAGGGGTGGTTCACTGGGTGCCATTTTTGGAAACTAGTTACCCAATATTCAACTGTATGCTGGACAAATTTAGAATTTCGACTATAATTTCAAAAGAGTCTGGATATTTTCTGGCTCAAAGACAGAGTACAATTAAAAAGAAAGTGACTTAAAAAAAAAACAGTGAAAAGAAGAGGGAAGGAGCCTCAAGGTGATGAAGGATTTTGAAGCAACAGGTGCTTTAATAACCTTGCAAACTTGGCAGATTAGATCACAGAGAAGGTGAAATAAATGGATCATTGCATCACCACTATCCAAACTTTGTGTACTCAGAAAACTTAATTGATGATGCTTATTTTTTATAACTCTAGAACAAAATATTATAATTCTGAAACATTTGAAGCATATATGGAGGGCTGTCCTTCCAAAGACAGCAGAGAATTCAGACATCAATGGAAATGTGAAAGGGTTAGTAGCATTTGAAACAAATTGGGGGAAAAAATAACTAGTAGTTAGGGGAGCAGACAGTAAAGATTCCCATGGCACCAGGACAAGAGAAAACCTGCATCCTCTTTCCTATTCCTCTGGAGCTTCTCAAAATGCATAGTATCTGTGCCCCCACAGCACAACAGGGCAGGGAAGGGCCCAGGTTCTCACATGAAGACAATGTCATTTTAGTGTCTGCAAAGACTGGGAACCTCTTTGACATGGATGGTCTGAGACTAGGGTTCCCTTTTCTGGTGCGGAACCACCATTTAACACCACGCAGCTTTTCATTAATGTTTATTTTCTTTAACATGTTTAGAATGTTATCATTCTCCTCCCTTTGAAAATATGTACTCTGGAGGTGCCTAAATTAATACTCTCCCAGCAATGGCAGTTTTGAAAAATAAAGGTTATTTCATTCATTAAACTCAATGGAAATTTGTTGCTTAACAAGGAAATACCCAACACTTTATAAACTCCTTGACGGCAGCAACCGTGTCATATATGACTTTAGTATCTCTTACCTCCTGGGTTCATTGTCTACTTTCTCCCATGTAGTAGTTTTAATAAGTAACCAGAATTGTTAAACAATATACTCCTGTGCCCTTCTTTGACGCAGAAATGTCTTTTCATTATGTCTCTGCATGTTTTATGTCAGGCTCATTGTAAATAACTGCCCCTAAGCTTGTTTTCAGTGTGCAGATCATTTTGCAGGCTTTTCAAAGAACAGCTGAAAAGGTTTAATTCAAGCTGAAGAAGTTTGCTTCAATTACAAGCAATTAATTTAGGCTTCGCTTACCTCAAGGAATATTTAAACCCATAAATTTACAGATAAATCCTGGGAGTGTCAAATTATGCAACCAAGAGCGGGTAAGGTCTTTGCAGCTTTTTTGGGCGTTGATCTGCAATAATCAGGCTTTTTTTTCCCGTCAGGTTTTTTAATGAAATAGTAAAACTTCTGCCAACACTGCCTACTTCACCTGGCTTTGCATAATTCCAAGAAACTAGAAACTAAAAGCAAGGATTCTTAAAGAGATTGTTGATGCATAAGAGAAAACAAAACAGAACAGAACCATTTATCTCTTCTCTCTTAAGAAAGATTTCACAATATTCCTGTTTTCAAGTACTTGAAGTTTTTTGTGGACAATGATTACTCTTTAAATAATCGCTTTTAATGTAAAACATAATACATGTTCATTGTAGATTTAGGATTTACTTAAAGTAACAACGAGAAAGATAAAAATCATTCGTGATGTTACAACTACGATTTTGGGTAACAACTTTCCATTTTTTCCCCTAGACACCACATGTTTTTACAAGACGGGTCCATACAACACAAACTATTTTATAATTTGGTCTTTTTTATTCTTATTTTTAAAATTATACGCGTGGTACGTGAAAAGAAACTTGTAAAGATTATAGCATATTATAGTACTGCAGTGTTAAAAGACGCCATCTGTGGTGTGGTGTGTGCGCTCTGGTGGGAAGAGAAAACTCTTGCTGGGCGAGCCTCACCACTCTCCCAACTAGAAGAGAGCTCCGCGCTTGCCCTTGGCGATCTGGGCCTAGAGGGAACGCCAGCGCGGGGAAGTAAGCGGAGGGCGTTCAGGGTGACTGCGAGCACGAGCTCCCCGCGCGGTCCACATCTGCCCTGGGCAAGTCCCACTGGCCCCGGCCCCGGAGGGGACGCAAGGCGAGAGGGCAGTTCGCGTTGCGCAGGGCCTGGGTCCAAACCTTTAGCCCCCGCCCCCAGGGCTGGCGCCACTCTCGAGCGGTGGAGTGAGATAAAGCCGGGCAAGGTTCTGCAACTCCAAATCGGGGAGGCGCAGCTCCGATACCAGGTCTCCAGGCCTGTTTGTTCCAACTGTTTAAACTGTTTCAAAGCGCCCGAACCCGAGCCACCTTCGGCAAACAACTCTTAATCTCGCGGGCCGAGAGCGTAGGTTTTATTTGCCGGGGGGGGGAGGGCGCGGTGAGCGCAGCGAGAGGGGAGCTAATGCAGTCCTCCTCCGGGCACCCCGCCCGGCCGCTCGCGGCCACCCACGGCCGCCCACAGGGACCCCCCGCCGGCGGCCAGCGAGCTTCTTGCGTCAGCTGGAGCGGGGGTGGGGGATTTTCGGAAGCCCGGCCCGCGCCGGCAGCCCGGGAAGGAAGGGCCGCGGCTCTTGCCCCGCCCTCGGGGGGCGGGAGGCGGAGCGGGGCAGGAGCCCGGCTGGCCACTCGGGCCGTGTCGCGGAACAGCGAGTGCCGGGGAGTCCGGGGGAGCCGCCGCTGCCGCCGGGTCCGCGCCGCGCCTCGGCAGCTGGGACAGGGCCGCCGTCGGGGAGCGCCAGAGCACGGTCCCCAGCGCATCATGATGGACTTGGAGCTGCCGCCGCCCGGACAGCCATCCCAGCAGGTGCTGCCCTCGACCCTTGGAGCCCCGCGGTGGTGCCCGGACTGGGACAGGGGCGCGAGGGAGCCGCAGACCGGGCGGGGACAGCCGCAGCCGGCTTCTCCCGTCTACGGCCGGAGTCCGGACTGCAGCGGCCGCACACTAGAGCCGCTGCGCTTGCGCCGGGCCCGGGCGGGGAGGGGGAGCGAGAACTCCGAGGGCCGCGAGGACCCAAGGGGCAGCGAGGGGAGTTGGGGGGGAGTGGGGGGTGCGGCCCCCAAGGGCGACTGGGTGGAGGTCTGGAGGCTACGTTCGCGTGCGTAGGGCGAAGGGGCCTCTCTAGCCGCGTCCCCAGTTTCCGGAGCTGGGACTCGGGAGCCCCAGCTGGCCCCCGGAGTTTGAGCGGCCCAGAGGTGGCAGGGCTGAAGGAGGGGGCGGACGTTGTTGGTCTGAGCCGGCGCGGCCCGGCCCTTCCGGGGCTGCGCTGCTCCTCCGCCTCGGAGCCGGCAAAAATGTGCCTAGTCACGGGGCCGCTCTCGGGGGAGTTGAGGTCTCCTCCGGACTGGGACCCAGCGCCCCTGCTCTGCCGCCGCCCCCATCCACGGCCTCCGTGGGCGCGGACTGTGGCGCTGTGCGCCCACCCCGCTGGGCCGTCTAAGGGCGCTCCCTTGCAAAGTAATCAGTCCATCCGTCGGATCGCTGGTAGGCAGCTCGGCGAGAAAGCCCAGCCCCCAGGGTGGGGGAGGGACGAGGTCACGAAGTGCCCAGCGCGCTCCGATGCCCCGACGTGCGGCGGCCGAAGCGGGCTTGCGCGCTCGCTCGCGTAGTGGGGAAGGCTCGGAGATCCGAGGTCAACCTCTGGCAACCCGCAGGTAAGTGCGGGCGAGCCAGCGGACTGAGGTCGGACGCCGCCGCGCCCCAGCACGATCCCCGCTTGGTGTCTCCCAGTGGCGCACGCCGCGTGCGTGGACTCGGCCTCCATGACAGTGGCCGGTTGGCTGTCACGGCGGCCCTTGGTTGGCCCTTTCCGGCTTTATAGCGTGCAAACCTTGCCGCGCCGGGGCCAAGGGACAAGTTGGAGCTGTTGATCTGTTGCGCAATTGTTATTTTCCCCAGGGCGGCTTTGTCTTTGGATTTAACGTTTCAGAATTGCTATTCCAAAATGTGTAAAGCAGGATACTCCGTTCTGTGCTGTCAAGGGTAAGAGTTTCTCGAGTGTAGATTAGAATTTCTCCTGATTTTAGGCTGTTACCGAATTTTCTGCCACCATACACTATTTCTTCCTTGGATGCTTTATGCAATTTGTCTCTTTTATTTAAGAATTTGCCTCGATTTCTTAGCATGTTGCTTCTTTCGCTAGGGCAGAGGGAGGGACACTTGTGTTTCATAACGTTTTGCAAACAAGTTTTGTAAGTTGTTATAAAAGTGAAAACAGGTTTCTAGTCATAGTTTGTAGGGACTTTTAAAGGAGTAGATACTTGTATTTCCAACTTTTTTGGTAATTGGGTTCTTAGGAAAAAACATTTGGTTCAAGGAAATGTGTAACATAATAGGTACAGTAAGAGCATACGTTTATACTCTTAAATATGAAGTTTTAGACTAATCTTGAAGATGTAAAGTAAGATTTTAAGTTATTGATAGTTTAATTGTGCTTTTTTGTTGTTTAAAGCTGTTTGCCTTGAACTTTCTCCCAGTAATGATTAGGATCGTATTCTCCCAGTTCGCACTAGTATGAAGTAAATTGTGCTTTCCAATTTAGCTGCTATTCTATTCAACAGTAACTCATATAGTCATTTATATAGTAATCTTTGTGATCAAAGGATATGAGGCTAATGGACTTTTGCTTTTCTAAATTGTAGGCTAGAGCCCTCTCACTTTTATTTTTTTAAATGTTTATTTTTTTTTTTAAGGTTTTATTTATTTGAGAGAGAGAGAATGAGAGACAGAGAGCACGAGAGGGAAGAGGGTCAGAGGGAGAATCAGACTCCCTGTTCAGCAGGGAGCCCGATGTGGGACTCGATCCGGGGACTCCAGGATCATGACCTGAGCGGAACGCAGTCGCTTAACCAACTGAGCCACCCAGGCGCCCTAAATGTTTATTTTTTATTTTTTTTTTAAGATTTTATTTATTTATTTGAGAGAGAGAGAATGAGAGCACGAGAGGGAAGAGGGTCAGAGGGAGAAGCAGACTCCCTGCTGAGCAGGGAGCCTGATGGAGCCCTCTCACTTTTAAATAATAATGGCAAAGAACTGTAATTTAATATTCCATACATAACAAAAGCTCATAAAGCATGTGTACTGCTTTCTTTTTTAAAAGTGAATTTTCGGTTTCATTTGATAAGGTAACTACTTTTCCACCTTTAATCAGACACAATTTTCATATCTGAAGACTATACAAAAAGAAAATGGAGTAAAATTTGGAATCAGTTTCACGTCTGTAACTGTGATTCATTCTAAATAATTGTTGGTATCCTGGAAAGATTTCAGCAGAGTCAAAAATGGATTCTGACCTCTGTCAAAGAAATTGCAGGTGTGAGGTGGTACTAGGGTACAGTTTTTCATCCTGTGTGTGGAGGGGATGTTGATAAACAGGGTAGCAAGGAGAGGCTTAGGTTCTGTATTTCCGTTAAGTGGAAGGAACCATCCATTACCCTTTCCAAGGGTGTCTTGGAGAGATAAAATACTTTTATGTAAGAAGGGATGAAGTTGATCTTGGACTAGACTGATAAGATTATTTTTAAAAAGAAAAATAGGACAGGCCTCTCATCTGAATGAATGTTGAGCAAAGAACAACTTGACTTTTTAGATACGACTTTTTAGACTCTTGAGAGATTATGGAAGCCGCATGTCGGAGAATAAATACACAATTCACAATAGTCTTTCTGCATTAAAAATAACTTGGGCCATTTTGGAATCTTTCTTTCTTATTAATTTGGGTTTTTATAAACAATGCCAAAAAAGAGAACTCCTGTCTTTCTTTAAGACTACCAGAATGAGTTGAAAGCCAAATACACTATTTTTCTTAATATTTCTTTTTATTCAGGATGAAATATCCTTCACAGCTACATAGAAAAGGACCCCTCTGTGGACTGTAAGCACATTTTTCTGGGAATTGCCTACCTACTGACTGAACATAATTTAAAGGGGGTTTTGCATAAATAATATTTTCTCTTTAATTTTTCCTTGATCGGGGTTAATTTTTCAGTGCGAACTCTTCGGTGCAGGAAGAATTTGGCAGTAAAATGATAATAGATGAGCTATTGGGCACTTCTTGCGTGCCAGACACTGCAATAATTGCTTCACATGCATGATTCCACACCAACCCCATGGGAAGTACTATTCTCTCAAGTTTCTGGGGGGTAGAAAAGAGGCCAAGAGTCCTGCTTAAACTGCCCCAACTACTTTTTTAATTAATTCATCTATTTATTTAAGTAATCCCTGCACCCAGTGTGTGGCTCAAACTCATGATCCCGAAATCAAGACTTACAAGAGCCAGCCAGGCACCTGAGATGCCCCAACTGTTGAGTGGTAGAGGTGGGAATCAAACCACCGTAGTCAGACTTCAGTGGCTTTTACTCGCCACTTCCATACTAGACCAAGACTACTTAAACTTCAAACAGAAGGAAAAGCTCATACTTTATTTAAAAAGTGGATTAACTGAGAAAAACTAGGGGAAGGAGAAGCAGGAGTTAAAAAGATTGATCTCTGCACCTTTTCCATTTAACAAGAAATTCACTAACTATGTGTGTATTGGGGGAGGTGGACCTTCTTAAATACAGTGAGAGTAAATACAACCTGTCAAAGGGGCCTTTTAAGGAAGACCCAGACCTAGAGGGGTTTAATTGAGAGAGGCAGGACCTTTTTTTTATATTTTATTTTTAAGTAATCACACACACTCAACGTGGGGTCAAACTCAAAACCCTGAGATCGAGAGTCACATGCTCTACTGACTGAACCAGCCAGGCACCCCAGGACCGTTTCTTAATATCATAGTACTTTAAAAAATCCCTGGGATTTCAGCAGTGTTCCAAATTAGGGTTAGAGTTAGGTTAGGGTTGGGGTTAGGGCATCACATTTTTCAGGGACCATATTCCTTTTTCTTAACTAAATCTGTTATCTACTGGAATCTTTGTTTACCTTTATTTGCCTTGTTAGTTGGTACATTCTCCTGTTCCATTGGCTTTTTTTGTTTTGAAGTAGTAGTCAAAAATAAATCTGACTGTGAAGATACATAATATGGCAAAGAGTGGGAGAGACTGGGTTAAGCCAGGTTGAAGGTCAGTGGGTAGAATGGGGAGAATTTGAGTTGAAAATGGCTAGGAGAAACCTGTTGGCTCAAATTAAACACTCATCTCTTGTTTGGGGCATTTCTGAATTGAAGCAAGCATAAGAGCTCAAATCAGTCTCGGTGAAGCCTACTTAGGGTTTTGAGTACAGTACATTTTGAAATTAAATATATTATTTCTTAGTCTTTATTGTTAAACAAGGCACTTTCAGAATTGTCTTACTTGTCTGATTAAGGCTGTTGCCCATCCAGTGGATGATTTGCCTGAAAGTTAGTCTGGGTAAACCCAGGGCATTTAAATGCCTGGTCCAGCCACTTTGAAAGTTTGCCGAAATCTGTTGCACACCAAGGTATAGGAAGACAGGTTTACTAAATGCGGTTATTTTGCCTGCCTCCTTTACCTTAGGCTGTATGTTTGTTTTAAATTTACTGTAACATGGAGAAAAGAATTTATATTTTGATAATACAGTTTCTGGGAGTTACTAAAATTTCATTGCCACCTGCTTTTAAATATGCTCCAAGAAACGTTTATTTAGAAGGCTCTAAGATGGGGCGCCTGGGTGGCTCAGTCGGTTAAGCGTCTGCTTTCGGCTCAGGTCATGATCCCAGGGTCCTGGGATCGAGCCCCGTGTTGGGATCCTTGCTCAGCGGGGAGCCTGCTTCTCCCTCTCCCCCTCCCCCGCTTGTGTTCCCTGTCTCTCTGTGTCTCTCTCTCTGTCAAATAAATAAATAAAATCTT